ATTTACAGAGATTTGTACACAACGCTATACAAATGACAGAACTAAGAAGATCTTAGACCATTAAAAACTATAGACTATAAAACGCTAAGGGATCGTCCATAAATTAAACAACACTAAATTTTTTTTTAAAAAAGAAGGAGAATTTAAGTTCTTTTAGGCAGCGATTTTCATTAAACTTAATGAGCCATTTTATTTTTTATTTAACTTACAACACTGCGAGGGAAAATTTTAATCTTTTTTGTTTTGTTCATTAGTGAAATATAGTGCTGCGTAATTTATAGACGATCCCAAATCTAAAAGTTAAGCCAAAAAATAATGGAGTATACTATTTTGATTGTTATCTAAATTTTGTCGTTGTTGCGCACTTGGCTTAAAATGTTTATCAGGGACGTGGTTAAAATATAAGTTGTAAAACTCAAAATTTTCTTATTATATTAATATTAAGTAATTTTTACTTTTAATTATTTTTAAAAAATAAAAAATTTTAAAATGGTGTAATTTAAATATAAAATTTGAACTTTTAATTTTTATTAAAAACATATTTTCTAAACCCTCTTACTGTTTTTAAAAAAGATAAGGTCGCCGCTGGGCAATTTCAAATCACCAGCTTGCTTTTTTTGCAACCTTATCTTTTTTAAAAACAGTAAGAGAGTTTAGAAAATATTTTTTTTTTTCATTTTTATTTAAAAAAAAAACAACTTTATAGTTCTATAGATTTTATTTTCTATATATAAACATATATATAACTATATATATAACATATACTCATTTTCCTTGCACGAACTCAACTTAGTTGTAAAAAAACTTGAAATGTAAAACTAAAAAACATAAGCCTCAATTATGACACAAACACAACACAACCCCCGTTTTTTGATGTTTTTAGAATTTTTAACTTTTTTAAAATCTTTCTGTTTGTTAAAGTGTATAAAATCGTTCAATATGTTTGTATTATAAAAAAAAAGTACAAAAAGTAAAAAAAGTATTTTGTATTATAAAAAATTGAAAAAAATTAAAATAAGAATCGACAGTGGTAGGACTCAAACCACGTTTTTTTTTGTATAAGAGCTCTGCATTAAAAAAATTAATGAAAACCATTAGTTTTTAAACATAGTCACTTAAATTGTTGCAACAAGTCATAGTAAGTGACTGGGCTAGATATTTGACCAGGACCGGGGCTGGGTTTTATAAAATATAGCCGGAGTGCATAAACATTTATACATCTTTAAGTATATTTTTTTTATTCAAAATTTGTGTTATATTTTGTATATATATGCATATATAAACATCATAATGATCAACATGATAAAACATCGTAACCATCATTATCATCATCATCATCATCATCATCATCATCATCATCATCATCATCATCATCATCAGCATCATCATCATCATCATCATCATGATTACCATAAACATTATTATCATCATGATTATGATTATCATCATGATCATCATTATTAACAGAATAAAAGAGGAAGACCATGATGATGATGATCATGGTCATCATAATGATGATCATGGTGATCATCATCATCATCATCATTATCATTATTGTCACCATCATCATAATCATCAGGCTTTAGCCTTTCTCTTTTACGCTGTTTCTCTAATATAAACATTTAGTTAAAAAAAAATGTTGTGGAGCAACTTTTTTTCTTAACTAAAGCTCATTCATACAATATGTAAGCCACTCTCTTCAAGTTTTCTTACTTCTACTACTATCACTTTCTACTGAAGCTGCTACCTCTCTACGTGCGGATACTTAATTTACTTTAATCTTTTCTAACAAACGTTGTTCGATACAACATTTATTCTAATTTGACTAAGATTATGCCTCTTTTTCTTGCCTTGCTAGAGTCACACCATTCATCCACCTGATCATCTTCTCTTTTGGCAAATACTAAACCATATAAATACTAAAGTTTATATAACAATGAAAGGATATTGTATGCCAGCATCTAAATAAATAGCAAACATATATTTTTATACCCATATATTTTTATATTTTTATACAATGTATATTTTCATATATATTTTTATATGTACGTAAAAATATTTCTTTTTTTTTAGAAATTATTTCCTCTTTTTTTCAAGTAAACTCAAAGGTACCACATAGTTCTATCTTTGCTCATGTAATATTTCTTTTCTACAATAACAATCTTTATGAAAATTTTAAATCTAAAGTGCCTCTAATAGCTGATGACTCAACTTTAAACTCTTCTCTTGACAAAATATCTTCACTTTTTGATTGCTTAGAACAAGCAGCTAGTTATTCACCTGATCTCTCTTCTGTAACAGCCAAAAGTTTGCAGTGGCTTGAGGACTTAAAGTCTGGACTTTAAACCCACAATTTTTTTTACGCAACAAAACTCATTTATTTACTGCAAAGAAATATTGCAATATTGTTGGCATTCCTATATTAACAGATAACAATCTTCTTACTCTTAGACAAAGTCTAAAAGCACATTGTAAATGTAGTTAGCTTTATCTGCTAAGCTTGAGCCACTATCCCAATGTTGTAAGGTTGAATTTCATTCTTTTTTCTACAAATACATGGTCAACTTTTTCCTACAATACATGGTCAATGCTCAAACAAGCTATCATCTCTATAACGATTAACCAAAACTCATTCTTACTTGGCTTCTTATTCAACAAGCTACACCCTTTTACTCTATCTGTCCCTTCATGCTATAAAAACTTTTATTAATCCAGTTTTTTTCCTTAACATCAAAAAAGCCTTATAACTCTTCCCCATCTTCATGTTTTCCTTTTTAATAAACCCTACAACTTTTAAAGTCTTCAGTTAACTATTTTTTAGTATTTTAATCTTTTCTATTTTAAAGTAGCTTAATAGTGGTTGCTTGCAATATTGTTGGAAGTAAATTAGAGTTTAAAAATATATAAACATATGCCAGTATATAATAAATAGCAAATGTAAGTATAAAATTATAATACAAAAATTATTATAAATTTTTTTCTAGCCCCAGCTATCAACCCCTGATAAATCTTGTAATTTTGTCGGGACCTGGGCCAGGTTTGAAAAAAGTCTAATTTTAAGCCGGGACCTTGGTCACTTACTATCCACAAGAGTAAAATTATTTATTTTTGTGAAGAAGGTATGATTATTTCAAGTTTTCTCTATGGTCTCAACCAAAATTTACCTTTCTGCAATTCCAAAGTCTTTCTACAATTCCAAAAAATCTTCTCAATTTAGCGGATGCATACGCTAATAAAAACACAAAGTATTTTTCTTCTTCAGAAGATAAAGCTATTAGATGCTCTTTATAAAGGTTTTGATTATTTTGAAAGATTTTCTAAAAGTGGAGTGTTTTTCAAAAAATATTACATATTATTGCTAGAAGAGTTTATATACAACAAGTTTGAAAAGAATCTGATTTTTGAATAATACTTCTAAGTCAGAAAAAATAAACACCGTTGTAATAATTGTTGTAACTACTTTTATTGATTAATATTTTTTTCCATTTAATAATATTTTAAGATTAAATACAGTTTGCATTGAAATTAATTGATGTTTTTTTTTAAAAAACTAAGAAATGTAAGATTAAAAAATAAATGTCAATAAGAATAAAAACTTATTTATATGTTTGTACTTTAACTTTAGCTTAAAAGGGGATTAAAACAAATGATTTCGTGTTTGCGATTGTTTCAAATAAACTTAAATTACATCAGTTACACCACAACTTTTCATAATCATAAAAAATGATAATAAAGCTATTTATATATATTGAAAATAAATAATAATTTATTACATCAAGTTCCTAATCAGACTTTAATCAAACACTGACCCTAACAACACTTCAATCAAACACTAACCCTAATAACACTTCAATCAAACACTGCCCCTAATAACACTTCAATTGAATATTGACCCTAAAAACACTTCAATCAAACACTGACCCTAATAATACTTCAATTAGACGCTGACCTTAATAAAACTTCAATCAAAAACCAACCCTAATAACACTCCAATCGAAAAAATTGTGGATTAATATCAGCAAAACTACTTTTTACAATAACAATATTTGCAGACCATGATAAATCCTTTAAACTTCTCTAATTAATATGTAAAAACTTATGTAGAATAAATACATTGTTAATATGTAGAATATGTAAACAAAGAGAGTAAAGCCTGTAATTGCAGAGAAAAAAATGAAAAATTATGAAAAAAAATTTTTTAGAGGTTAAATGAAAAGAATAAAAAATTTTTTGTACATCTTTTTAATTTGGATCTTTCAGTAACAAAAACAAGGTCATACTTTCTCAATTTAACATAGATAAATAAGGCATATAAAAAAAACATAAAAAAATAATAAAAATAAACTTTTTTTTTTTTTTTTTTTTTTGTATTTTATGCCAAAACTTCTATTATTTGCTTTTTTTGCATATAATTTATTTTAAAAGATCTTTTCTTGATTTGCTATTATATGGCAGATGATTGCCAATAGACAACTTCCAAATTACCTAAATAAAGTGGTAATTTTTATAAACAAAAAATTTTTTTGTAGATAAATTTTAACATTTCACTTACCTGCTGTCAATTTAATCCATTTATATAGTTTATCCTAGATTTAAATCCCTAAGACCAAAAAAGTCTGATAACATTTAAAATTAACTTTATTTTAATCTTATTCACCATTTCAATTACTTAAATTTTCTGATAAAAATTTATAACAAAAGGTTATGGGAAAACAAAAATTAAAATTATTGTTTTCTCTAGTAATATTTATGCTAGACATATCCAATAGCCTATGATTCTGATAATAAACATACCACTGAATGTGTAACCAACAAATTTAGATCTATCAGCTGGTGGAGACCATTGAGAAATTAATGCATGTAACGCTGGAAGCGTTACTCCCTAAAAAAATACAAAATATTTATAAGAATAATATAAATTAACATCTCTCATTAAACATTTAAATGGTTTTATTCCATAACTTTTTGTTTTTACAAATATTTTCTAACTACATTTAACATTTATTATGTATATATATATATATATATATATATATATATATATATATATATATATATATATATATATATATATATATATATATATATATATATATATATATATATATATATATATATATATATATATATATATATATATATATATATATATATATATATATATATATATATATATATATATATATATATATATATATATATATATATATATATATATATTTTCAAGTTTTTTCAATTCTGAAAACCTGTTTTTTGCAAATATCGTACTATATTGGGCCAACATTTAGCCAATGTTTTTTTTTCGGCATATTATTGCAATTCTACAAATCGGTTTTTTGCAATTATCGTACTACGTTGGGCCAAAATTTGGTTAATGTAGTTTAGGCTTAATATTTTGCCATAAAAATCTGTTTTTACTTTTTACCGTAGCCAATAATTGACCAATGTAGTTTCGGATTAGTATATACTTTTAAATTGTTTCGAAACATTTTTTAAAAATGGTATCATTTGACAGAATAAAAAAAGGTTTTGATACTATTATATATCTTTCCATTTAATTAAATTATAAAAATAAAAAAAAGAAGCTATATTTATTATTTTTCTAAGAATCTTAAAAAGTTTCTAATAAGAAGTAAACTTCAAGAGATTCTCGTGACTTAATGTTTTGTTTTTTTAAATGAAATATTTGTTAACATTTAAATAATATGTTTAAAACATTTTTTACTACAATCTAAATTATTAATGTAATAATGAAGGCAATAATCAAATTATTTTTTTGTAAGATTTTAAAATTATTTTTTTATTTTTATTACTGTATTGGCGTTTCAAATGTTTGTTTTATTTAATAATCTTAATTAAATTTTATTATTATTTTATAAAATTTATTATTATTATTTATAAATAAATGAAACATTTCAAATGTTCGATTTATTTAATAAAGTAGACATTTTAAATGTCTTCTTTATTAAATAAATCAAACATTTAAAATGTCATACAGTATATTTTTTTTCATTGTTTATAATAGTTTAGATTATATATCTATTATAAGATATATTATTAAAGGTATCAATAATATATATGTGGCATTGAAGTTGTTAGAAGCTGATATTTTACATTTTAAATATGTCTCTTTTATTTAATTTTTTCTGTGTTTGATTATGAAACCCCATCTACTAACATATTAAAACAGTGTACAAAATGTGATGTTACTAGAACTTATATTCTACTTATGTAGAGCTTTCTAATATTCCATCTTTCCGAGGCAGAGGGACATTATTCTTGGTTTAAATATCTTTTAATTTAATATCTCTGGATATTTTTCATATTTAGTTTGCGTACAACAGTTAACAACTTTAAGCTTATACATTAACTTTAGTTATAACTTAATTATTAATGATTTAATTTATAGACTTTTAAAGCAATACAAGATTGAATTTAGCAGAAGGCTAAATTTCTTAAAAAAGGAAGACAGCGAAAAAAGGAAGACAGCAAAAATGACCAAAAAAGGAAGACAGCGAAAATGACCAGTCAAAATAAAGATTGAAGAGACAAAAAATTGTGTATATCTTGGTGTAGATGATTTATCCTCATTTTCTTATAATAAAACAAAAAATATTATTAAACTTTGGGATTTACCTGTAACTCCAAAATCTTTACAGAAGTTTAATGTTTGCTCTGAGAAGTTGAATGAACAAAATTATTAAATGGTGTCTAATGATTGAAAATCTTTATTCATAGCTTTAACTTTTACAACTTTAAAAACTTTTTCATATATCACGGTCAAAAAGTCAGAGTGTTAATTAACATTTTAGCATGTAAATATCAAAGCTTACACCACAGGCTTGGTCAGGAAGCGGGAGCGATCGCTCTCGAATACTGACCACAGAAAATATTTAGTTGCGAAAAACTGGCCAGTTTTTTTAGTTGTTTTGAGAACATTTAAGTTTATGAACGTAACAAAAAATTTTTGTTGGATTTCAAAGTTGGTGTCACCAACTTTGAAATCAAATGTTGAAAAAAACAACAGTATTTGTATTTATATCAGTATTCATATCAGTTTAAAGTTTTAACAGTTGCTTGTGATTCATTATTATTCATTATATAAACGTTTATTTAAATTTATCTAATAGACGAAGGTAATACAGTATTTTTATAGATGATATTATTTTTAAAAATAGTGTTATTAAAATTCCGAACTAAAATATGTAAAAAAAATTATTTACAAACATTGGAGAAGGCCTGTACTGTACCTTCAAAATCTGGAAAATTTGTTAATATCGGCTAAAGTCGTGGAAAACCTGGAAAAGTCAGGAAATTATTTTTTTCTTTAGATAGTCATGAAAAATCAGTAATTCTAGTTAAGAAGTTACTCGTTTCACAAAAACAAACGCTGTATTTTGAAAACATGATGAGTCACACTTTTTTTAAAAGTGAGGTCATTTGAAAAGAATATTTTCAAAAAAATATTCTTTTCAAATATCCTCACTTAAAATAAAAGAA